AGTATATACACACAGACACAGACACAGACACAGACACATATAAATATATGTATATGTATATATATGCGACATGTATTTCCTTTCGACTTGTACGCTGTGAAGCAGTTGCCGTGGTGCTTTTGACATCATTGACAAATCGCTACACCCTGAAACCCAAGTTGATTCTGTATAACAGTACCGAGTCGATATAATATACATACATAACAAGACTCAATACACAATAAACCGAACATATACCAATGTCAGTCAAACTACATACATCCTTCTGTAACGCCGCAGGTGCCGCCGCCGCAAAGTTCTTGTTTGCATTGATCTTCGCAGCAATCTGAGCTGCACGTGCGGCTGCACTGAGTTTACCTCCTTTGAACATCGCCAGGGCCGCTTCAGTCGCTGCATCAACACGTATGGACGAAGCCTTTGTTTCTTCCTGTATTTGGAGAGAGAGAAGGATGGGTCGGTTGGGAATCTATTGGCGCGTGTTGGGCGATGCATGACACTTACACAAATGACGACTTTGTTTTTTCCTATCGAGAGATCAATTTTTGTTTCTTCATCCATAATAAGGTAGAATCTCAAATCAATTTGATATCTAATTTCCATTTGACCCTAATTTGACTGTCCGACTTTTGAACCCAATGCCATTAGCAATACATCCCCAGGAGAAACGACGTGCTACTTCTGAACAGAGCTCGAGCTATGCGCACTCCCCCACTTCTGGTACATGGTACTACCACACACACCTCTTTATCCGGTGCGGGAGTGGCGGTCTGTACTGTGAGAGTGGTGTTCGACGGCACTGTGGTTGCACCTACAGCGGCCTGTGGTGTGTTCGAGTCTTGGGGCGTGGCTGAGTAGGTGAGAATTGAATGACAGTCAGTGAGGGGGTGAAGTTGTGAGAAAGAAACCCGTCCGAAGATAGATACAAAATTTTTTTTTAACAAGAAAAGAAGTAAACAGGAGACCAAAGGTGCTGCTTACAAAGACATATACGAAGAAACAGAAGAAAGCCCCCCTCGCCTCTCTCTCAAAGTACTTTCACCCCGACACCTTTGCAGCTAAATCTTGCAAACAACTCCCACACAACACACCCAGCATGCCCTTGAGCAGTCCGTGTGCGCGCTTCTCCTCGGCTGTTTTGGCGGGGACTCCATCGGCGCCATCTGATTGGATGGCGGCTGAGCCCGCACCACTATTCGCCTCGCTATTGGTCAGCATTAACGGGCCATTGCTGAGTGTGGCGTGTGGTTTGGCTGCCTCCACTTCCTCCTGCTGGGCTTTAGCGGTTTTTTTCTTGTCTCCAGCAAAGAGTTTCTCGACCATATCGTCGATCTCATTGTCGGATTCGTCGTCATCGCTATCTACCGCACCCACTATACTCTTCTCGATCTGAAAGGGTTCAATCAATAGAGAGAGACGCGTCTAGTTCAGCACATGTTTGAGAAAATACGGATATAAATACTCGCTACCAATTGGTGGCGAGTTCTTTCATAGAAAAATGCCAATTACAGTCGTCTCCGAATGTGTTCTAAATACGGGAATGGGTAAATATTCCAACTGCTCGATATCTTTTGACGGTTGATCCTCGAATAAAACACGCCAAATGTCCTCTTTTCAATCCAAATATGTTTGTACAGGGAAGGAAAGTGGCGTAGGTACTCGATGCCTACTAGGAATAAATTCGCACTCGATTGTCACGCGAACAGAATAAATTCGCACTCGATTGTCACGCGAACAACCCTCTTCTTTGACTTTTTAGTAAAACCGGCATCGACCACAATCCAACGAGATACATGCGTTTGTTACCGTAATAAAAAAAACATGTACTA